TTCCTAAAATTAAAAGCCTTAAGAAAATTAAGAAAGATGTGTAATTTCCAGTAATATGACTTTCTTTTATGTGCAGAGTGAACTGATTGAGACTTACAAGATGTTGCAAAGAAAACAAACAAAAACATTGTTTAATCTTGCTTTTAATCCTATGTTATATGAATAAATTGAGTAGATGGCTATAATCCTAAAAACTCCCTATAGAAAAGAATGTAGGTTGAGTGTTAATTCCAAATAAAGGCTTGCGATTTTATAGCTAAAGTTGCTTTATGAAGAAATAAAGAGAATTCATAAGGAGCCGATCCTAAGCAATTAAATTCAACTATGAACTTGCAAACTTCCTTTGTATTTTAAATTTTACTAGATAATTCTAGAGCACAGCTAACCACCAACTAGGGTGGAGAAAAGATAGCATTAGCAGTCCAATAAAGTATTTTAAATAATTTGGGTAGCGATGAAAGTATGTTATTATTTATGCATGTACAGGCCCAGACAAACTTACTCAGAATATTCCTACACTTCTTAAGTCAAATGAGATATTCTTCAAATGGAATTAAGACTATCTAAAATTAGTATCACCTTAAAAACCTCACTAAAAAAGAAAGAAAAATGATAGGAACACCCTCCTTCTTGTATTTCCTAGAATCACCAAGTGTGCACATGTGTCCTCTTCGAACTTCTATCAATGTAATCTATCTAGCTGGTCTATCTAAACTTTCTACGGTATGCTTTTACTAAGGGTTGGAACAAACTAATGTCTTTGTCAGGAAGACAAAGATTTTAAAATTGACTTTAGTTGTGGATTATGTAACTGTGTTGATCAGTATTCAATCAATAAAGGAACTAGAAAGCATGGTTTTCTAAGGTCCAGCAAGGCAGCAATGGCAGCAAACACTTTATGAAATCTAACCAAGATGAATAATGTGAGTTGGTGTGCTGACTTCAGGACTTAAAGTTGTATATTTAAGAGTACAAATGTCATTCATGGAAAAAAATCCACTGTTGAATATTTTCAAGTTAAACTATAACCTGTTGTAAATTTTATGAAAGCATTTGATTAGTTATGCATTAATTTAAATGTAATTTATAATATTATTTGTTGTACATTTTATTTGCTTTCCATCATAACAGGCTCATTTTTTTTTCTTTTCCTCTTTGTCTTATTTTGTGAAGGAAAAGGAAAAACAGGGAAGTGGGAAAGGTAGAGAAAAAATTTTTAAAAGAAATTGGTAAGAATTTATATAGGAAAACTAAAGGCCTATACTACTTTTTAAAAATTCTATTTCTACACACACCACTGCATTACATTCCCTTTGTTTGAAAAATATCTCAATAGATTAAATAATCTGAATATAATCACATATTATACAATTATATATACCTTTGTTTGGAAGAATGCTCCAAATTAAGAGCTTATTCTCCCTATAGAACTATAGTTTACTTAATGAATATATTCAAAACTGAGCAAATTAATTCCTTTCAAATCACCTATCTTGCTCATTACTTATCTGTTGTGGAGAACATGCTCTAATTCCCATAATTTTTTTAAGTGATCACATGATGATTTTGACCGCCCCCCCCATTTCATTTATCCACACTACCCCTTAAGTGAAGATAAATACAGAGAAATAATATGTCATTACCTTTCAACATTTCTCTCCAATCCCTCTCAATGTGACATTACTGCCTGTAGGGACTATTCATTTAGATGTGTTGTTGGTTGGTGGGTTTCCTCCTGACTCTGTGAACTAGTAGATGTCCCTAACTTCTAAACTATTACATTTTCATACTCAGAAAAATTTCTATTCATAGACAGAAAACTTTATAATGTATCACTTTTTTACCCTAACTACTTGTGTGAGCTTGGGCAAGTCATTAAACTTGTTCTTAACTGTCTGGGAAATAGTGTCTATAAGCATTCTATTTCTAGGACAGATGATTTTAAAATGTTTTCCAAAAAGGCCTAATGTCGGAAAGTGTAAGATATGGCAAAATAATAATTTATAAATTATCAAGGGTTCATGAGGGAAGAGGGAACGGGTTGGGAGGGGGGGAAATGAGGAGCTGATGCCAGGGGCTTAAGTGGAGAGCAAATGTCTTGAGAATGATGAGGGCAATGAATGAACAAATGTGCTTTACACAATTGATGTGTGTATGGATTGTGATAAGAGTTGTATGAGCCCCCAATAAAATGATTTAAAAAAAAGAGTAAGGCAGTGAGGGGAAGGGCAAGTAGAAGACATATTAAATTTGGTAACCAAAAAAAAGAAAACAGTCTAACATACATTATACAGTTCCATATTCTAGAGCAAAATCACCATCCATTTCAATATTGTTCTTTTATGAGAAAGTTTAAAGTATACACTTTAGCACAATGGTTTTAATTGTGAAATAATTCCAAAATGGAACAGTAAAGGCAGTGGCTCAGTTTAAGTGGTCAGAACACCCACCTTACAAGTTTCACAAATAACTGTATCTACAATATGATGAGTTGATGCCATTTATAATTCTGTTTAACAAAAGTCTCAATAGAAAGTAAAAATACAATTAAAATTATAGGCACCTCATCAAATCCCAGAGAAACCAAGTGACTTGCCAGGGCCATAATGCTGATTACAGATTTCTATCTTATTTACAATAAGAAATTGTCCTAATAATGTTTACATCCCATTGAGTTTTTCAGAAATTTAAAAGACTTTAAAAATAGCAAATGTGGCACCATCAGAAAACTATATTCAAAATCATTGCACTCTGAAGAAAAAAAACCACATAAAATTCAAGGACTTTTTAAAACCAGTGAATTGAATAAGCACACTCAGATACAAAAAGATAATAGCACATTAAAAACGTGCAAAGTATGATTACAGAAAAAGAAAATGAGAACCCCTGGTTTCAGTATGCCCCAAAGCTCAGACAGGTGCACTTAATATTCCAGGCACAACAAGAAAAAAATAAAACAAAAAAATTGCAACAATTCTGACTCAGGAAACTCCACAAGTTTCTGAGTGGAAATGTACACCACTGGGCTTTCTTTTTTTTTTTATGTGTAAGAAAGAACTTTATTTATTTATTTTAGAATATAATCTTTTTAAAAAAATCATTTTATTAGGGGCTCATACAACTCTTATCACAATCCATACATACATCAATTGTGTAAAGCGTTTTTGTACATTCATTGCCCTCATCATTCTCAAAACATTTCCTCTCCACTTAAGCCCCAGGCATTAGGTCCTCATTTTTCCCCTCCCTCCCTGTTCCCCCATCCCTCATGAGCCCTTGATAGTTTACAAATTATTATTTTGTCATATCTTTCCCTGTCCGACGTCTCCCTTCACCCACTTTTCGGTTGTCTGTCCCCCAGGGAGGAGGTCACATATAGTTCCTTGTAATTGGTTCCCTCTTTCCAACCCACTCTCCCTCTACCCTCCCAGTATCACCACTCACACCACTGGTCCTGTAGGGATCATCCGCCCTGGATTCCCTGTGTTTCCAGTTCCTATCTGTACCAGTGTACATCCTCTGTTTTAGCCAGACTTGCAAGGTAGAATTCGTGTCATGATAGTGGGAGCGGGGAGGAAACATTTAGGAACTAGAGGAAAGTTTTATTTTTCATCGTTGCTACATCGCACCCTGACTGGCTTGTCTCCTCCCCGAGACCCCTCTGCAAGGGGATCTCCGGTGGCCTACAAATGGGATTTGGGTCTCCACTCTGCACTCCCCCCATCATTCACTATGATAAGATTTTTTGTTCTGATGATGCCTTATACCTGATCCCTTCTAAAGCCCATATGGAAGAAGCACACCAGCCTATGTGGCCACTGGGTTTTCAATGACTAATCTTTCATAAAAGGCCACTAGGTCTTTCTTCAAAGTGCTTCACGCTGGAAACAGACCTGTACCTTTAAGTACTGTCTCAGGGGCTAATTCTTCGCACAGCACAAAAAGAGAAATCCTAATTGCGGCAGATAATTTTGGATAATGAAATTAAGTGTACAAGATCCACATAGACAAAAATGGAAGACACTTTGTTACCAAATGTGTGAACCCCTCTTTAATGTACAGCCTGTTTCTGGTGTTTGTAACATGGATAGTGATTAAAGCATACTGGGTTCTCATGACATAACTTCAAGAGAAGGATGAGTTTTCTTTTCCCTTAGATTAGCTGACTACAAACTCAACGGGCTCCTCCAGGTGCATGATGGTACCCAATGGGCTAGAGTCACAGCTCCATGAACGCGCTCCCTTTTCTCATGCTAGTCCGAGTCAATATGGATGGAGCGCTGACTCTGAGCTTCGGCCCTGTGTATGGCTTCCATACATGATTTCACTAAATGCTCATGACTCTTTATGAAGTGTTTTGATTATCCTCTTTTCTAGAAAAGGAACCTAAATAGATGATTGAAGTTCATACTAGCAAGTGGTAGAGATATCCTTGACAACTTACTTTTTCCTTTTAAAAGCAATGCAGCGCCTTCCTTTCTTATTTCAATCTCTTCAGTATTTGACACCTTCATGCAAGAAAAGCATGAAGGTTACAGATCCCTCAGGTATAGATTCTATGGTCAGTACCAAAGATGATTTGCCCTCGACTGAAAAACCATGACCCTCTGTAAAACTCTACCTTTGCCACAGAGCCCTTGACTACACAGTAAAAATGTCCTCTCTGCCACTGGTCCTCCGCCTGCAATTCTGTGGTACCGACCGTCTTCGATTCCCTTGCACAAGCCCGTTAAGAACACAGGAATACATTTAATACATCAATGTATAGGGGGGACATGAAACATCCTTCCATCATAATTTCATCACAGCACAGGAAGAAATGGACATTCAGCGTGCTTGACGTGCACCTCCCGAACATGGTAAGGTGTGTGGCAGGGAGCCACAAGGTTTGCAAGGTAGAGGGGGCAACAATTTGTGGGTGAATCGGGAAGGAATTTTACTCTGTAGGCTGTGTCTGTGGGTACATAGAAGGAAGCGTACATGAGATTATGATTTCTGACCTGGATCTGCTGCTGAAGTAAGTTGATTTTGTGTTGCTGCTGCAGAAGCTGCTGCTGTTGTCTGGCAATCTGCGGAGAAATTGTACAAAAATAAATTAACTAAAATGTACTTGCAGTCCTGGAGGGAAGCTACCCACGTTTTATTTCTCAAAGAGTTCGATTTGACACTGATCGCGATGGTGAAAATAGACGTGGGGGTGCTACTCAATTATTGACAATTCATCCTAGTGAGGCTCCAACGTGACGCTCAGTCTTCAGGAGCAGTGCCTCCTTTGGCTCAAAGCAAATGAAGCTCCCACACTGCAAGAATGATTGGTGCCAGTACGAAAGGTGAGGGTTGCAAAATCCCTCCTTTTGATGATAGACGATGAAGGCACAGCCCCAGATATTTCTAGCTTCCAGACGAAGAAAGAGTATAGCACTATTAGGAAATGGTTGTGCCCAAGCAGTTCAGTGTAACACAAAGTATTGGAAGAGGCTGTCTTCCTTAAATAGGCAAGTGAAACCAGTGGCCAATATGTTTGCTCTGACTCATAAAGACCTCATAGATGTCTGACTAAAACTCTGCTGTGTAGGGTGTTCGATGAAATAGATAGCTAAGCCATTCGACTGAGATACTGCTAGTGAACACCAACCCACCACCGTGTTAGAAGCAAACTTGCTGCGTGTTTGCAGCCCGAGAGGACTCCCTCTCTACCTTGCTGAGGCTCCCTCCCGCTACTGCGCCTCTCAAGCACAGCAAAACACATTCTTAAGCCACCCAACAAAATCTATTCTCATGTCTCCTCCCATTTATCAAAACTATTTCTATTTTTAAAAAGTATATATTTCTATTTGAGTCACTAATTCCTAATAGTTCTCTGATTTTCGGTTTGTCTTTTTCCCTTTTTAAGTTCTATTTTTTAATCCTCTCAGTATTTAAGGCTTAAGTGTTTTCCTTTAATCTTAATCTATTTTCTGCCCTTAGATTTTGTAACATTACACTTTCTTGGCCTTGTCCTACCTTTCCTGGAGCTGGATTTCCATACGGCTCCCTTTTTGACTCTCCTCCCTGGTCTCACTGTCCTTACTTTCATAGATCTATGCCGTGACTCACACATGGCTCCTCTTATCTTCATCACAGCTCTAAGAGCTTCAGGCTCATTTACCCAAATGAATATTTGAAGTTACTTCAAGTTCAACAGGTTCCAAATTTATTCAGGACTGAGTCTTCCACATGGTTGTCTTAAGTGTTTTCTAACCCAGGAAATAGCACAATGATAACCCTGTTATTTGCTCTCATACTATCTTCTACATTTACTTAACCTTATATCACATGGTATGACTTTATATGGATTTGTTTTTGATTGCTTGACTTCTTTATTACCATCTCTCTGTCTCCTAGGTAGAAGTTTATAACACAGTGTAGGTAGGGATCATGTATATTTTGCTCAGCCATTTGCACAGAATCTGGTACATAATGGAGTATGAAACAAATATTTGATAAAATAATGTATAAACAAAAAAAGAGAAAAATTTGAAATTTTAATTACACAATATAGGTTAGGTGGCATTCTAATGAGAATCCAAACCCTAAACTCAGGAAATGTATCTCTCTCATAAATATGCTACAGTTCTTAGTCTTATCATGTGATCACTGTAATTTTAATTACAAAAATACTTCCTTTCTTTTATATCTAGCTAAACATTCAGGAAATAATAGGTACATGTAGAGTGCAGTACTGTGATTCAAAGTTAAAATTCATGATGCAAGTGGGTCGACACTGACAATTTTTAAATTTCCTTTATGAACACGGGGAAATAATAATTATTTCAATGATTTTAGTTTATCTTGGGACAATAGTCAAATAAATGCGTTTTTTTCCTTAAGAAAGGTAGTAAAGAAAATTGTACACATTTTTCCCTCTTTGTCTAGTTGCTTCCTCCCAAGTATCAACAATTCCAGTGGTATTTAAATAATTTAATTTTACCTTGAGGATATATATCTTCAAAGACTTAACCACATTACACCCCTTCACACTTTCTCTTTTCTACACCACTGCTATCTCCTCTATTCATCGCCATCATAGCTCCCTCTGTTCCTCTCTCTGTTTGAACCCTTGCTTGTTATTGTCCATTACAAGCCATATTTCCCCTGGGGAAATATTTTTTAAAATACAAATTAAGCAATATAATTCATCTCTTCAAAGACTTTCTGTCTCTCCCCTGCAAGAAAAAGTAAATGTCCATACAATTCTTCTAAGTCCCTATGTAATTTGGCCTCTTACTACTTCTCTCTTAGTGATCCTCTAGGATCGGCTCTTGTGGGGGGTTTGCGACTATAACTCTTTGTGGGAGTAGAAAGCCTTGTTTTTCTCCCATGCAGCAGGCAGTGTTTTTAAACTGCTGTCCTTGTGGTTAGCAGCCCAAACACAGCTCTATAGCTTTTGAAAGCCACCTCTCTAATATAATCTCTTCTTCCTCTTGCCCTGTCTCTCTATTTTAGCCACACTGCTCTTCCAAGTGCCTCTGGAACATGCCACCAAGGACACTCCTGCCACTGGGCTTTCCTACTTGCCTTTCTTTCCATCTTGAATTCTCTTTCTGAGATAATTATAGATTCTCCTTCACCTATTACAAATTACTGACAGTAGAGGGATGTTACCTTCTCAACATGGTTTCTCAAAGAACACAGTTTAAAATATGCTATGGTTTTAGCTGTACCCTCCCTAATACCCTGATTAATTTTACATTTTAATACTTGTCCCCATATACTTTATTTACTTATTGTCTATCTCTTCCAACTAAAATTGAGATGTTTAGCTGGATTATTCTCTGCTGTACACCCTCAAATAGAACAGAGCCTGGATTCAGAAATATTTGCTGAATAGATGTATAAGGAATGGAGGTCAAAGTCTAGGAGAATCAGGAAACAGGGGCATCAAAATACTAGAATTGAAAGAGTACTCCACACTGAAAAAGGAATTCTGGGAGAAGGTTCATCTATATGAGCCTGACCAGTCTTAAGGAATAAGTATTCAATGTGGTTCAGTCATTTGCCTGTGCTCTGATGACATGACCAGTAATCATGGAGTAGTGACTACAAATGTCAATACTCAGTCCCTCAGCAGTGTTGTCATTGTAAGGAACTTCCCTTGCACAAACAGTTAAGTGCTCAGCTACTAACTGAAAACTTGATAGTTCAAACGCACACTGCAGGAGAAACATCTGCCAATCCACTTCCATGGTAGCCAGTAACACCTGTGAGGCAGTTCTACTCCATCACATGGTTACAATGAGTCGAAAAGGACTTGTCAGATCTTACCAACCACAAAATCATAGCTACAGTATTCTGTCTATCAACAGAGAACACACAAAAGCAGAATTACCTATAGAAACCTGATCTATTGATCTCAATAAAGACCTCTCAGGTAGTGTAGTAGGCATCTTTAGCTGACATCTTCCCACATAGGAGAGAACATCTAGAAGAGTGGATAGCCCTCTAAAGTTCTAAAGAGAACATTAGAAGTCTTGAAAACGCTTTTTAGAAAAATATCTAAAATCTTCTGTTGATATTCAAGAAAGGGGGTGAGAATTGAAAGAGAAAGAAATAAGCATTTTTTTCACTATTGCAGATCGCTTTGATTTTTCAGGGTAAGTCAGCCCTCAGACTCATCTAATAGGGACCCCCTGCAATCAATCAATCAATCAATCAATCAATAGAATACAATAAAATGGAGGGCCATTTTCAGAGGCTCCTAGGGTTTTCAAGAATTCAGATGTCTGTTTTGACCTTTGAGAATTAAGGAAAATTCCAATGTTTTTTGGATGGCCACAAGCAAAAACTGAATTCTTTTGTCATAGAAGTAAATCAAGAATATATAGAACTTTCAATAACCGGATAATTATATTATTCTGGGAAATAACGAAACATTTTATTCACCTCTTTCAAATCTCTCATTTACATGTTAGAAAACTGTTTAAAGGGTTTGTAAAGATGTATATGTTGTTGATAGGTACTGTTGAGTTGATTCCGATTCAAAGATCCATTATACACAACAGAACAAAATACTATCTGGTCCTGCACCCATCCTCACAATCACTGGTGTGTTTAAGTACATTGTTGAATGAATTAATTAATTCATCTCAATGAAGATCTTCTGTTTTACTGATCCTCAACTTCAGCAAACATTATGTCCTCCTCTGGCGACTAGTTCTTCCTGATAGTGTCCAAAGAGCATATGTCAAATCCCTACAATCCTTGTTTCTAAGAACATTTTGACGGCACTTCTAGTAATCCATAGTTTATTAAATATTCTTTACCAACATCATGCAAAGATGTGTGGAGAAGCAAGTGTTTTTGTTGTGTGACATGAAGTTAGTTCTGATATATAGCGACCCTAACTAACAGTATAACTGCACCATGGGGTTTCTTATGTTGTCATATCTTTTCTACTAGTGAAACTGATGATGGGTTTGAACTACTGATCTTTTGGTTATCAGTGAAGCACTTAACCATTTCCCCATAAGCACCATCAAGGCACAAATACCATAAATAGTGGCCTTATTCTATTTGGAATAGACTCAGTGATACTGGGTTTTCCATTTGGTAAGGTGATGCACTGAACAAATAACATGGAGTGTACAGGGAATTAGTCCTGTAAAGTGGGTGTTATCCTTGTAGGTAAGCTGTCCCCACTAAACCCTCTACCTTCCCTTCAAAGTAATACCAAATTTCTGGCCATAATAGTTTGTATGTGTCAGTTCTTATTGTCAGTTTTCTGCACCTGTGATTCACTTGAAGTAACACTTTTAAAGTCGAACAATGAAAATTTAAATAAAAAGCTGGGTAGCTTTCATGATGTGTTAAAATAATTATATTAATTTTCTGTAGCATTCAATGCTGCTGTCTATTCTTAAACACTGAGTGTCCTCTAGTGTCATATGACACCTAACTTCTCATGCTTCTTCTGTACCTCTCCTTGCTTCTGGACAGGTTCAGCTTCCCCACTCTGCCAGTAAAGGTCAGCATCCCCCCAAGGCTCTATTCTTAGTCTCTTTCCATTTTCTCACAACACCTTCACTCTATCTTAGGTGGGCCAACCTGCTCACCCACTTTCAGAAACACTCACCCTCAGATGTGATTTTGGCCGCCTCTCTTTTATCATTTAGGTATGAGCTCAATTGCCACAACCTCAGAAATATTTATCTAATAACCCCATTTTAAAGAGCACTGCCCCACCATTCCAATGAAAATTGATCACATTCCTCAACAGAAATTTCTTCTAATTATTTATCAGTGTCTGAAATTATTTTGCCTATTCATTTGTTCCTTTGTTAATTACCTTTCTACTAGAACAGTAGTTCTCAACCTTCCTAATGCCACGACCCTTTAATACAGTTCCTCATGTTGTGGTGACCCCCCCCCAACCATAAAAATAATTTTTGCTGCTACTTTATAACTGTAATGCTGCTACAGTTGTGAAGTGGGTGACCCCTGTGAAAGGGTCGTTGGGCCCCCAAAGGGGTTGTGAATCACAGGTTGAGAACCACTGTACTAGAATGTGGAGACCCTGGCTTTGTCTGTTGGATTACTTATGGTAGCTTCAGCAATCAGTTAGCATAGTCCCAGACAAGGAAAATGAATCAATTATTATTTCTTGAGTGACTAAATCATAACAGCTGCAATGGTTTAAATGATAACTTCTATGAACATAATCTAAGACATTTAGCTCTGGCATCCACTCTTAAAACTCTGGATTGTTATTCTGTCTTTCACATACCTCCAGGTGGGCTACATGCTAACTGTCTGAAATCAACATGTGCAAAACTATCTTTTCCAAATTAGTACTTCTGACTTTCCCAGTTTCTGGTGACGGTCCCACCATTTCCTCTACTACTAAGGTTCTAAACCTCTTCACCTTGCATATATCTGTGCAAAAAGTTCTAGATATATAACTCTTCTACGTGTTCACTCTTTTTATCTCTTTATCTATAGGCATCACCACACCCAATTTATATTCCCATACCTGACTAAGATTATGCAATTCTCCTAATACGACCAAAACTCAGTTTCTGTGAATCCTACCTGTTCTTCAGAACTCATCTCAAATATTACTAGTCTGATGGAATCTTTCATAATGTCAGTATTTATAAATGCTCTTTTTACTTTGCATGTTGTTTGTACCGTGCCCATAATCTATCAAAATCTCATCTTCATTAACATGATTTCTGCATTACTTATCACCAGAGTAGTTAAGATTTTTCATAGCAGACTTTTTAATCAGTTTTGATTTTTTTTTTTTCAATTTGAAGGGAGTGGTACCCCTAGTCATCTTTGCATGTCTGGGTACCAAAGTGAGGTAAAGTTGTAACATGTCTGAGGAAATGGTTGTCTGGAGATATTGTTCACCTGCTCTTGTTGCTGTTTGGCCAGTTCCATTTGCTGGCGCTGCTTCTCAATCTGAGAG